AGTGGCGCGATCGGCGTTTGAAAATCATAGGCGGGATAAGACGCGCCGCGTCCCGGTGCGAGGGGGAGCGCGCGAGTCCCGGGGAGCCCTCGCGGGTGAACGAACGAAAGTCGCCGCATCGCATTCGATGGCCACGAAAGGCCAGGGACCACCGTGAGCATGGCCGAAACTTCGTGGCAATTAAGCGGCCCTTAATTAGAACGCTCGACGGTCGATAAGTGCCGTGACCATCGCTCCGCGTAATCCAATTGTTTATTTTTGTCCTTTCCCAACCCCCCTCCGCCCACCACCTCCCACCCGAATAACGTCGCAATCCTGTGACGACGCCACGTCGCCAGACAACGAAATCTCTCCGTGGCGCGTCTACCCTTCTCGTCAACTAAAAGGGGGACGGATCCGGCAAAAGAATCGCCGGAACTGCGACCGCGGTGAAGTCCGAACCGTCGGACACGTCGCCGAAAGAAATGCGCGCCCCATCCGCGCAAAACAACATCGTGGGGGGTGTCGCTGCGATCCCACGCACAGCGTATACCACCACTACCCCCTCCTTGGACTGGCTGAATACAATTTGCGTTAAATTTTAACGCGTTTCAACAACTGCAGATTTTATTTCTCCCCAACCCCCTCACCCCGTTTGGGCCATGCGAAAAAAAGACGACAGAAAGCAAGCAGTGCACCACGGCCCCCCCATCTCTTGAGGTCCCCACGATGGCCTCTCACCCACACAACCATGTGGCGTCTCACCTTCTAACACGCGCCCTGCCTGTAGAGGGGCTTCGTCACGTGACAATTCGAACCAAACATGTACATTCCCAGAGCTGGAATGAGCCCCAGCCGAGTTAAAAACCAAACATACCGAGCTTTAAAAAAATGCAATTATAGCCAGCCACGGTTGAGGCCATCGCAGCCCTTGAGAGCCCGGCTCAATCAGGGGCGGCTAAGAACCCACCGGGCTCGAACCGTGTCTCTGAGACAGTGGCAGCCCTGACACGTCGTGTGTGACGGGCGGCCTCCTTCCACCGCCCGCGTTCCAGATTCCCACGCTCAGTGCTCGTGCACAGGAGCTGGCGTCGTGAGCTTTGGCGATAACTGAGATGTGAGATATTGGGAAACAGGGGCGGAGCCAGGATTTCAGGCCGGGGTGACATTCAACAAATTTTAATTTCAAGAATGATTAAGAGAGTCAGGCATGTTGAACTAGACGCCATCGGTTGGCGACACACTCTGACAATGCAGTTGCACGGAGTCCGCCAGACCGAGTGTCGTACACTTATACGCAGAATGTCACCTCTGTCATCCCCCCCCCTGGCTCCGCCCCTGTTGGGATATGCATGGGAGGAGGGAGGAAGGGAGAGTGGTGGTAGAGGGGGGAGGAAGGGAGAGTGGGAGGTAGAGACGGGCAGCGGGACGTGGCTGATTGCCAGGCTGGTATTCAGCTTGGGTAGGCCTTCATCCAGCAGTGAATCGATCACGCCTGATGATGGTGATGATGAGTGGGTACTTTTTGGACCGGAAACTCACAACTCTTCACAAGCCCCCCCCCCTCATCGCCCTTCACCTTCCCTTCCCCGTCACCAATCAATCCTCTCTATTGAATGGCTCAGTTGAAGGGAGGACAAGGATAAGCCTACGTCTGTTGGGTGACACGGAGAAAATAAATGTGAACACGCTCGCCTTGTAGATGAATACAACATTGTACAGAGTGCGTAGAGTGCCTACAGACCCTGTGCAATATGCATACAGGGTGACCATAATCTCACATTCCACCGAGTGTGGAGACCCTCTAGAGTTCTGCGTGAAGCAGAGCAAGCAGCGCTCCCAACCAGCAGAGTTTGAGTTCAAATTCCGGACAGGGTTAATTTGGCGTCATTACCAACACAACAAAGATCCCCCCGTGTAACCTTAATAGACTGTTCGGGCAAGTGTGGTTAGCGAGCACCATTACCACAACCAACATCCTCCCACCCCTCATCATCATTATCACCACCTCGCCACCGTGACATACTTCCTCTCACTTGAGTCCGGCTTCCACAATCCACAGTGCACCGAGAGATAACGGAACTGAGATCACAAGAAAGAAGACCCTTTTGGTAGCTGGAGCAGTGGCGCAGTGGTTATCGAACTGCACTAAACTCTCTGAGTTACCTATATATTTAAATGGCACGTCTCTAGAATAAATCAACGATTTGACAGATGCACGAAATTGAATTCACGATGGCCAGCAGCTCACGGCGTGGAGTAGAATGTCAGTTTGTCTGGGTACGTCTGACACCAACGTGGCGATATCAGATGAGAAATTCTCCCTGATCAAGAAAGGTGGACACAAATTATTTATCGTGTGAATCACAGCTCTAATTGGTTGACGTGCTATGCCTGCTCCAAATCACAAAGCTATCTCGTTATGAAAACCAATGATTACCGCATGTGTCTAAAATGTCTGAATGTGATCCGCCAGAAATCGTGGAATTGCCCGTGCAGCTATAGTTGAGGTCATCCAATTTAAAACGCGTGGTTGAGGTAGTGGCGTAACAACATCAGCTCAGGGGCTGCGGCAATCGGTCAGGTGGTGCCCCAATATTTGATTTGTCTCGCACGGTCGCACCTCGGCGAAATATCGCGGCTCCTCTTGCCTAATCACATCATTACATACGTTTGTGTTATTTTACACTGTCGTTGAAAACATAACTCATGGCGGTTGTCAAGGGGCAGAGGGGGGGGGAACTCGTAGTATTGGCCACCGGCGCTCGTTACGTCGCTTGGTTGGGGCCATCGCCTGCCAGTGTGGCTGCTTCGTGCTCGACAGAGTGGCCACCGGCTCACTCGGGTCACAGCACGCCGCGCGTTCACTCTCACCACTCGGATATGAAGAATGGAAGAAAAAAAATACATTTTGACAGTCACATTCATGAACCAACCAACCCATCGTATCACGCACCTACATCATCGTCGTCATGAATAAATACGTGAGATTGTTCCTGCAATGTGCACAACAAAATCGAATCGTTAAGAACATAACTCAACACATTCGTCAATGACACTGCCTTCAAAGGAAAGGTTTATAATAGAGAGATAGTCTTTCTCTGGCCTCTCTATGTACTATGAACAAGGGGCATCGCCTGAAACGTCACCGATTATAAAGTTTTCCTTTTAACGCCACAGTGTTATTGACAAATATGTTGAGCTGTTTTTGTTAATTGTGCATTTGCACCACTGCCAATGCAGCAGCGTCACCAAATAATTTGTTTAATTTTAAAAACAGAAAGGAAAGGCTGAAATTGGCGGTTTGTAAAGCGCGGAACACGAATCCAGTTCGCGTAGCTGGAGTCCCACGTCCCACGTACTCAGAGCTAAATCTAGCTGCAAGTTCATATCCAGTGCAATCCAGGTGTCATATACTTCGGGTGTTGTGCCGTGCCTGTTTATCCCGCGTGAAGATTATGCCATGCCAATATCCCGCCAGGCCACAGCCTTAAAATCGCAGACTTATTGAGTCCGGTACGGTGCGCGAGAGATTTATGTGACCGGCCGCCTTTGTCTCACCAGTGCTGATGTTTACCAACTACACCAATTACTTAGGTAAGGCTGAGTCTACCGAGGGAAGACCCAGGACCGGTTCTGATATTACTCGGCATTTATGGTAGCCGTGGTTGGGAATCAAACTTAGGTCGCTGGGTTCGTCTTTATCCCAACGCTTCTCCGAAAAAAAATGTTTTTACTCAACAAATCCTCCCTGAGTCTCAACACTATTTTGGAGTACCAACATACGTTGGGAGATTTGGTCAATTACCACCAATCCGGGTTTGGCTTCGTGTGGGACACGGAAACCAGAGAACCCAGGGACAACCTCGCAGGGCGCTGGACACGACGGGGTGGATGGGGGGTGACACTCAATACTGCCCTCTCCTGGCAGCGGCCCCACACCTACAACCCCCCTGGTCACTCTCCCATCCAAATACAGCACTGACCAGGCTCAAACCTACTCAGCTCCCGCGGGTCGTCGCGAGGCCGGGTGCATTCCGGGTGATTTCGTGGTGGGCATCACACGCGCCCGCGTGCGGTGTGCGAAGTGTCAGCGGCACGTGCGACTTGCTGGTGCCCGCGCTTCGTCCGCCAAACTTGGGTGTAGTCGTGACGCATTGGAGTATAACATCGATCCTTTTACGCTCACGATGAACGAAAGCACCGAGTCACGTGCGTAACAATCTCTTACACAACCAATACATTCACCACGATGATGATGATGATCGTAACACTACTGATCACGTGTAGTCTTATCGATCGCGTCGTCCTTCATGCAGAATGCATCTCACCATCGCAAGAAGCCGGCGCTGCCAACAATTGCCCAAGCTACGCGTTCCTCTTCATAGTAAGATGTTTTCAGCCAATTGATGAGCGTTAACACATGTGGGAGAAACCCGGAGCGCCCGCTCGTTGAAAACCCACGCGCGCGAGGGCGCAACACACTATCACGTGCAGAAGGAACGTTGTGTTATCAGTCCGCACGTTGCTGCACCACATTCTCCTGGCGAGCCAGGGTACATTTGTTTGCGATCCACCAGTCCTGGCTGCTGCTGCCCCCCACCGTGTTGGATTACAGGACACGTGCACAGCCACCACCGCCGTCGCCCGGCTGATGTTTAACAAACGATAGTTTGTTCAACATCAGCTATCAATCGCTTCACAAATTTGACGGAATCCCATACTGGCGCTAATGCATCGAATTACTGGGTATGGGGTGTTGCGTGAACCTCTACACATATATTCACGCACAAAGACAAAGATCCCCCGTGTAGCCTTAACATACTGTTGGGGCAAGTGCTGTTAGCGAGAACCTACGAAGGCCGGCACGGTAGACGAGGGGGTGGTGGGCAGCTCCCCCCCCCCCCCCGGTCGCCTTTGTCACCCTAGTGGTGATGTTTACACTTCGCACCAGGTACTAATTTGAGGTTGAGTTGACCTTGGGGAGGCCCATGACGGGTTCAGATAATCGTCACTGGTGTTGGCCGTGAGCGGGAATAGAAATCGTGTGGCCGGGGTTGTAGCGCAGCGCGCTAATCACGATACTACCGCGCATGTGCGCTCCACACGCGCGCGCACACACACACGTGCGCTCCAAACGCGCGCGCGCACACACACGTGCGCGCACACACACACATGCCCCAGGCGATGTCACCTCTCCCCATAACCGTGTGTGTTGCGGCTGATGTTCGCTCCGCCAAAGCACCAGAGAAGTCGAGGTGAGAGTCCGTTATCAAACCTGCGCGGTTGCGTCCAATTCTGCGCGAGTTTCCACTCCGATGTTCCTCGGCGCGCGAATCAACGCACGCACGTCCCGAGGTGGCGCTTGGTACGAGTTCGTCCCGGCTCCCTGTGTCTCTCGCTCTCTGTGTCTATCTGTGTTACTAACACCACCGCAGTCCCCGCGCCTCGCGATGTCCACGGCGCCAGGAACCCAATGCGGTGATGAACAGAGGTCCCAGGCTGGAGGCGCCTCCATGGAACATCAAGCTCCAGGGTGGAGCGCTGCTCCACAGTTGAGTGATGGGGGAGACTTCCCTGGTGAAATAACCTCCGTGATTTAAATAAAAAATTATCAGATCTTTCCCGGGTGGGGTGCTGATCCAAGGTGGACCGATCTTTCATGATGGCGGAGCGTGTGCCCGAGACGGGAGACACCTCCAAGATGCGAGTCCACAATGCAACCTCCACGTTAGACCCACCTCCACGATGAGCAGAAGGTCTCCGTGGTCCGCCCGCGTCCGCCCTTCTCACGCGGCCACCGTCATCACGGGCTGATGCCTGCGGCAGAGTGCGGCCTTGAGCGCCCTCCAGATCTCCTCGTTGCGCAGGCCGTACACCACGGGATTGACGCACGGCGGGATTGTCACCATGATGCTGAGGCTGATTGCGTCGAGCAGCGTGAAGAAGTCCGCCTGGATGACGCCCTGGTCCAGGAGGATGTCGAGCGAGAACTTGATGACCAGCGGCCCGAGGTAGAGCGAGAGCTGCGCGCCGTGCAGCAGCACGGTGGTGCGCGCGCGCTCGTTGGTCTGGTTGAACGGCTCCACGGCGAGGCGCGCCTGCCTGTAGATGCGGGTGTAGCTGAAGGCGAGGGCGCACATGGCGAACGCGAGCCACGCGCCCGCCAGGCACTTCCTGAAGAGCACAGGCGCCCGCGGGAAGCTCGTGTACTTCTCCAGGATGTCGGGCTCGCACACCACGCCGCCCGACAGCACCTCGCTGTACGAGCCGTGCTGGCCCAGCAGCCACACGTAGGTGAGCGACACGGCGAGCGAGAGGGTCCACATGCCGAGCACCATCGCCTTGGTGCGTCGCGACGTGAAGGTGGCCATGTAGTGCATGGGCCGGCAGATGTAGAAGTAGCGGTCGAGCGCCATGAAGGAGAGGTTGAGCAGGATGCAGAAGAGGGTGCCGAACGACACGAGGATGCTCGTCTGGCACATGAGGCCCGGCGACACGTAGCGCCGGCGGGAGAGGCTGTGGATGGCCTGCGGGATGAGCGTGGTGGTGAACATGAGGTCGCAGGCGGACAGGTTGCACAGGAGGATGTACCGAGGCTGCCACTGGAGCGCCTCGGCGCGCAGCACCACGGCGAGGAGGAGGACGTTGAGCGCCGTGGAGCAGCAGTAGAAGACGAGCAGGAAGGTGACCTGCACGACGATCACGGCGTCCGACGCGAAGTAAACCCCCGCTCCGCTCTGGTTGCTGCTGCTGCTGCTCAGGTGCCCCGGACCCTCGCTGCTGGCACCGGTCGCGCAAGCGCGGGTGATGTTCAGCATCGTGAGAAGCGCGTGGTGGAACAATTCGTGTGCGTGTGTGTCTTTGTCTAGGTGTGCGTGTGTCTTTGTCTAGGTGTGCGTGTGTCTTTGTCTAGGTGTGTGTCTTTGTCTAGGTGCGTGTGTCTTTGTCTAGGTGTGTGTGTCTCGGCAGGTGTGTGTGCGTCTTTGTCTAGGCGTGTGTGTGTGTGAATGTATGTGTTTGTGTGCGCCGTTGTGTGTATGTCTATGGATATATGTGTGTGTGTGCGTCTTTGCCTTGTGTGTTTATCGATATATATGTCCATGCACGTGTGTAGGTAGGTGCGTCGATGTGTTTGTATGTGTACGTGCACCTAGCCTGGCACACGCGTCTTGGTGACGTCTCCGCCACTTAACGATTGCTGTACGTGTGTGTGTGTCGACGTTTTTAAATGCTCCTGTGTCTCTGTGTGTGGTTTACGCGTGTGTTTGTGTAGGCATGTGTGTCTGTAAGTCTCTGTGCGTATTGATATTTGTCTCTGTAAATGCGCGTGTCTTGTGCACGTCTGAAATTGATTCAATGCCTGCGATCCCTACTCAATGCCATCTCCAGGCAAACAATGCGACTCACAAAAGTGCTGCGCTCATCGACGAGCAGCTGATATCATCCATGCGGCCGCTCGTCCCTCCTCTGATCCCACCGGCTGTGAATGAGCGGTGCTCGGCGACGGCGGTCGTGGTGGAGGAATTGCGCTGCGAGTTTTGCGGCGCGGTGCCCAGAGAGTGAGAGAGCCAGAGGGAGGGAGAGAGAGTGAGAGAGAGGGAGCGGAGCTCCCTGGCGAAAGCTCGCGCTACCACCGCCTTCGCGCCGCCAATGGGAACGAAGTAGAATAGCTGTAGCGCGTCACTGGCTCAGCCCAGGGTCACTTTAGGATCGCTCACCCTCCCCCCTCTCCACCTCCTCCTCCACCTCCTCACAATCTCTGACTACTCCTGCCTCCTGCGGTGTATCTACCTCTCCTTCCCTAGCTGTCTTTCCGTGCATCTCTGTGTGAACCCAGTGTCCCTGTCTGCCCCCCCCCGTGTCTCGCTGTCCCTGTCTGTATAAATGCGCCTCCCTGCTTGTCTCTGTCTCTACGTCCCTTTCCCTGATTCTCTCTCTCTGTGGCATAGCTATCAAGGGTGCAAGCGGCGTCTTCTCTGCTTTGGCAGTCCCTCGTTGATCAAGGATAGCTTCCTTCCGCAGTGCTTCTGTGTGTTGAGACGACTGAAGAGCCCAATGTGAGATCCACAGACTCTGCCGCAGGTGGGGCAGGAGGTGCTCTGCACGGGATGGGTGAGTGGGTGGATTGAGCTGCAGCGTGGCTCATTTCGCTGAACCCGTTTGGCTTCGTTGTGCGCTTGCCGGTGACTCAAGATGCACAATGCCCGCCCGAATGCTTCTCCTCCAGTTTTGTGCGATCCTGAGCTAGGGACTCCCATGAGTTGACGTCGCATGTTTTAAATGAGGCTAAAAGAATGTCCTTGAACGTTTTTCTTCTCTCCTCCTGGGGATCTCTAACCATGGTGGAGCAATATAGCATCCGGCAAGCGGGCGACATGACCCACCCAGCAGAGGTCGCTGTGAGTGATCAGTGCCTCATTGCGAAGGAGGTTGGCTCTTGAGAAGATACTGACATTGGTTCACCTGTCCTGCCAGCGAATTTGGAGTAGTGACGTGCGGTGAGGTCAATGGCTGGGGAGGCACTGGCTAGTGTCAAGAGCTAGATTCACACACTGAGGAGGCGTGTCCTTACTTAGACACGCCCCCCTCAGTGAGGCAGATGTGATAGCTGCCTCCCCTGGTGCTTTTTCATTGCAGTTTCATGACGAGACCAGCGAGCTTAAATATCTTTATACACATACGTGAAATAAGTTACCTAGAGTATGGAAGGCGAGGACGTGAAATGAAGGGGTCTACAAACATTAGATTGGTGACAAACTGAGATAGCAACAGGCACGCGCTTATTGCCCGCGCTCCATCCAGTTACTGAGGGGTTGCGCAATCAGAGGGGAGGCTGAGCTCGTCACTGCCTCACCTCTGGTCTCTTCCTGTATTTGTAGCGAAGCTCCGCCAATTTGGCGATTTTGACTATAAAAATTATTGGAATCATACAGAAATGACATTAATAACACAGATCAGTGGAAAAATCTTAATATTAATTTTATTTGATTCTTTTTTTACTTTTCGTAACAGCGATTTCATTGGAGTATGACAGGTGAGGTTCTGCCTCCCCTGCCTCCCCTGACCGCACGTCCCTGATTTGGAGTATTTTTCGGAGACAGCGTTGGTGGGACTTCTTTGGTACTTTGAAGTGCTTGCTGTAGGTTGTTCATGCCTCTGAAGTATACAGGAGGATGGGGATCACTGTTGCTGAGTAAACCATGAGCTTGGTATAGGCCTTAAGGTCCTGGTCTTCGAAGACACGCTTCCTCGGGCGGCCAAAGGCTGTGATAGCACACCGAAGACCATGGTGTTTTTAGCAATCTGACCTTGCTGTGACTTGATGCGCGCACACTACTACTGGAAGTACAAAGTCAAAGACCAACCGTGTAGCCTTAACAAACTTTTGGGGCAAGTGCTATTAACGTGCACCTATGAAGGCCAGCACGCGAGGGGGTCGGTGGCCAGTACCACACCAATCGCCTTTGTCTCCACAGTGGCGATGTTTACACACCACACCAGGTACTCATTTGAAGCTGAGTCGACCTAGGGGAGGCCGAGGACTGGTTCAAATAATCGTAACTGGTGTTGGAATTAAACTTGGATCGCCAGACCCGTAGCACAGTGTGCTAACCACGGTGCTAGGGCTCCTCCAACACTGTATGTACACACAAACTGGCAGAAGACAAAGCCATGGAATCCCAGCATAGCCTACACAGGCTGTTGGAGCAAGTGCGACTAAGACCGGCACGGCGCACTGCTTGGGGTGGTGTAGCCAGGACCGTGCCTGGTCACCTTTATCTCACCCATTGACCGACGTTTCCAGGTACTAATTTCAGGCTGAGCCGACCTAGGCGAGCACACGTTTTCACACATATACATACGTTAACTGTCATGCCTGTTTCTCTACCAGGGCACGTGTGCACCGCGCAAACACCAAGGTAACATCGTGCTCCCGACAAATACGCGACCCCCGTGACCTCGTTGCAGAATTAAACCGTTACCCTGAATTTCCCCAGTGTCCTTGTTTAATCGTGACCCCATGGTCAGCAGCGTAGCTTGGTTGCCATTGGCAAGACATTAAATGGGGCCGCCCCTTGTCCAATTTCCCACCTCTTCGTGGTCCTGGGGTCCCATTAGCTCCGACACACCGGGGTGCAGTTGCACCGCCTGCACACTCGGATAGCTACACAACTACCCATGACCCGAGTGCCCTTCTTCAACTGTTTTGCCAGTGCACCAACGTGACCCTAGCTGCATATGTTTAACCAAAATATATCCGTGGGCCAGTGGTATGAATTCCACGTTTCTATCACAGAAACGAGTAAATTCCATAGAACCAATGATGGTTTCCTACGAAATCGTGAGTTGCGGTTCAAATAAACCCTCCAAAAACTCCCACAATCCCCTGCATCGATCCGAAAAATGTACCATGTTTACATGTCCAGAACAGTGAGTACAAACATATAAATACAAACTGCGGGAAAGTCAAACCAATAAATCCAAACAAGTGTGAAATTACCCCTACAATATCACCACCATCGTCATTAACCACCGCCTCGCAACTGGAAACGATTATCTAATTATATACACATACACGTGGTGATTCATTGATAGATACGCCACTGAAACAATACGGTGACACCACAGAGAAAATAACCTTTTTATTTCAAATTCTCCACATCTCCCACCCAAGGCTTATTTTTAGCCACAGCTGTCCCGGGGTTGAGCTGCGGGAAATATTTCCTCTCGGGATCAGGGACGTTGATAGTTGGGAGGAGGGGCTCGGAAAATATACCATGAGAAATTAAGCCTCACTTCCACCAATCTCAATCGATTTGGGGGAAAAAATGTCAAGGCACGGCCCTGCAATTGCTTTCTCACGCTACCTGGTGGTGGAAGCGCCTAAGTTGGAGCGAACTCTCGAGTGGTATTTGGCCTCCTCTTCCACGTTGACCATACGTGTTGGAAGTGATGGGCGTACCCACACTTTACCCCACTACACGCATCTTGCCGGTCGACTTAGTAACATGGTGTGTACCCATTACAATGTGGGGCGGACGGAGGCGGGTGCGGGGAGGGTGGATTTTTTGAAAATTGTTCAACTGGAATTGAACAGGCAACTATGGCACCACAGCAGCTATACCTCAACTAAGCACATGTTCAAGCTGAGCTCTGGTTTCTTCCACGTACATCACCAAATGATTTGCATAATTTCTCAATTCATCGATTTACCACGCACTATTCGATGTACGACTTTCTCCCAAACCAAGAAAAGTAATCGGTTGGTGCAATCTTCCTATTCTTTCACATTGCAGCATCGTTATGTTCGTGTGGGGGTTGGTGAGCTAGTGGATGACTTCAGGAGCAGCCACATGGTGCACATTTCAGATGCTGCCGGCGAATGACCAAAGTAATCTATCCACGTTTTTTTTTTTTACCGGTGGCACACCACGTGGAATAAAGTCAGTTGCACAAAAGGGCAGGGATGCCGGGATGGAAGTCTTCAAGACAAAGACGGCTCAAGATGAGCAGCAGGAAGACAGAAGGAGCGCCGGGCAGGAAGGGGAGGAGGGGGGGAAATAATCAGGCCAAGATGTCGGGGATGAAAGGGTGATGAGAGAGGAGGGAAGAGAAGGTTCGAGCAGGCAGCAGAAATTAGCTATAACGGAGCAGCATCGATTTGCATGGGTGGCTACGTCCAGTGCGAAAGAAGTTCAAGAGACATACATGTTTTCACAGGGGGTAGCGAGGAATTTAGAGTGGGGGTGGCCACGCAGACATCAAGAGATTTATACGAGAGACTTGAGCTGATTTTTTTTATATATAGATGTTGGCTAACATTACACAATGAGCAGAGGCACGTAAGGGAGGGGGGAAGTAATTAAGGAGGCTAGTGGTACTGCTCTATTTGACGATGATTAATGAGACTGACTCAGGACTGTACAACTAAGCGCGGATACCCGTTAGGGTGGGACCAAGCATCAGCACTGGGGAGACAAAGACGGCTGGGCGTGGTACTGGCCTCATCACCTACTTGTTCACCATATGGAATTGAACATGTGCTGGCAAACAGCACTTCCCCAAACATTTACAGGATGAGAAAATGTCGTGCCCAATCAATAACCGGCCAGATGGCTAGGTGGTAGAGCAAGCCGCTCACAATCAGAAGTTTCCGAATTAAAATCCTGGTTGGCGGTTGACTCAGCCCAACACCCCTCTGGAATTGACAAATTGAGTACCACCACTGGCTCAGGGCTGTAAACAAGAGATGAGCACCAATACCTCAATGCTCATTCAAGCAGCAGGAAATCTCTTTCACTTTGGACTTTAATCTCAAGAATCCATTCATAAATTAGGATTGGATTGGGTAATGATCTTCAAAGCAACCGTGTTGTGCTAATGAGTTGAGAGATTGCGACCAGCAGAGAAGAGGGCAGGAGGCAGTAACACTATAGAGACTCACAGCAGTGTGTGTGAAAGTGTGTTGGGAAAAAGACAATCAATAACTCCAGTGAAAAATATAAATTCACATTTCTGCATAAAGTCAAAGAGCGTTGCAATGAATTTTAAAACGGTCAACAGAGGGAAGTCTCCTGATTGTCGTCACATAAGCCTTGTGCCATGGACAGAGAAAACTAATGTAAGTGACGGTTAACCAATGAGGTGCATCAGTGGCAACAGAGCAACAATGTTTCTGTGTTGTTTGAAACTTGTCTCAAAATGGCTTGAAATGCCTTTCTCCCGTGCGAACAATTCAGTCTGCGTGCTGCTTCAATTATGGAGGAGAGGTAGCGCAGTGGTTAGCGTGTTGTGAACCTGGCCACCTGAGTTCAATTCCCAGCTATAGAAAACAGTGGAAAGTGATTTCAGTACCAGTTCTGGATCCACCTCTCTGCACCCCCTTCATCAATCCCCACTGATCAGTGTGGTAAAGAGTGGCTGAAATTTATTTTTATTTATTTCTACCCCGATGCTACAGCATAGGAACCAAAGGTGAGAGAGTATCTCCTCATGGATTTCAATAGAAAGAGGAAACTCAAGGAACCGGCTGTCACTGGAGGACACCCAGGGCAATCCTCAAGGGACCAGGAGACCCTTGGATCCTGTGACCCTGCCATGGTGGTGACATGATTCAGAGTTTATTTATTACTATATTTCACATGGAACATGCTTTCAGAAGGAGCATCTCGTTTGCAAGGGTGTCCAGGGTTTGGGAGCCACTCAATTCTGCAATTGTTAATGCTCCGGAACAAATATGACTATTGCAGTTATAATAGTAACACTACACAATGCATAGTTATCATGCTAACCACCTAGTACTCACGCAAGAGTGACCTGGCATACGTGGTAGTAAAACGCATACACCTCTAAAAGTGGCAGACAGCGCTGGCAGTGCGGCAGCAGAGGCTGAATCTGTCCACACAGCACGGGGCTGGCTGCAACAGGGACACATTACTGGCCAAGCTCACACCTCGGGGAGTTCTGGTGACAACTCTAGGATGCAGAGCTCAGGGCAGGGGTGCCCCCCGCGGCTCGGGAGGCCCCCCACTGCAAGGACGTGGCCCCCCAGCATGCACACGCAATGCGCGCTGCGCTCCAGCGCTGCGGCCTGCAGGGTCCGCCACTCGGCGCGGCTCGTGTCGAGGAGGTGGAGGCGCAGATTGGTGGCGCGGCGCGACGGGGACGAGACGCAGGAGAAGCTCTCCTCTCCGCCAGACAGCAGCGCGATCCGCGGCCCCAGCGGCGTCATCGTATGGAGGCGCAGGGCACGCGGGGGCCCACGGCTCGGGACCGCGATGGCCCAGAGGTACCGCTCCAGGGCCCTATCCTCCGAGCTGACTGACTCCGGCAGCGAGCCAAGCTCCAGGGAGCCGGGCCCTCGGGCCGGCCAGCGAGCTACCACCTCCAGTTCCCTGGAGTCCCTGCCGCCGAACGCGAGGAGGCGGTGTCCTCCTCCGCTCGGCTCCCGCGCCATCGTGGCCGAGTGTCCCGAGCGGGACGCTACGAGGGCGGGCAGCGGCTCGTAGCGCAGCGTGCCGCGACCCGGATGCAAGCGCACGCGGTACAGGCAGCCGTGGCGGCGCTGCGTGCGCACGCCGCCCTCGCGGCCTAGCACTACCAGCTCGACACGGCCATCCGCGCGGCCCGCCGGTTCGCGCACCACCGTGAGGGAGTGCCCGCTCAGGCCCGCGGGCGGCTCGCTGCCCGGCTCCTCGGAGAGGGTCCGCCAGCCGGCGCCCTCGCTCTCCGTGTCCAGCAGGAACGCGTCCGCCGTGCGCCGCGCCCCGTCCCAGCCGCCCAGCACCAGCAACCACCGACGGGACAGGAGCGCCGCAGCGTGGTGGCTCCGGGGCGGCGGCGCGGGGCCCGGGACTGCCCGCACCGCCGCGGTGGTGCCATCCTGGCCTCCGCGCAGCTCCACGGCCACGACATCCGACAGAGGCGGCCCTCCCGGCCGCGCCAGACCCCCCACCACGTAGAGCAGCTGCCCCCCGTGCGCCGCTGTGCAGGTGTGGTGGAGGCGGGCTAGGCAAGGGTCGCTCAGGAGAACCCTCCACGCAGGCATGGACGCGGGGGCCAGGGGGTCCACGGGGATTGCAGAGCCCTCAGTCTCATCAGGGTCTTCCATCTGCAACCCGCAATGGCCTGCAGCAGCAGGAACAGCAGCAATACTGTTTAACACGTAGGCTTTCGCGACCAATATCACCCATAATAGAGGTTTTTTTGGGTTAGATCGCGTAAATATATAAATGTGTCGTTAAAACCCGCCACCACCCGACACAGCCTAGCTTCATCAGACGACAGCCAATCTAGCTCTCACCTGATGAAGCTAGTTGTAATTACTGGCAAAACGTCATACTCAGATTGTAAATGTTGTGGCTTGGCTCTCCAACACACCAGTGTGCTGTACTAGTGACGAATTGGCATGCTCTGTTTACGTGACAACCCTTACTAGTTGGCTGTGTCGGGTAGTGGCAGGTTTCAACAACACATTTATATATTTACACGATCTAACCCAAAAAAAAGCTCTTATTGAGCAGCAATACTGTTGCTGTTACTGCTGTTACACCTGTCCTGATTCAGATCACTCTTGAAATTGAGACTATCCTGGTCTCGTTTCTTCTCACCTGCATTTACGCAGTCATCCTGAAACTTGAGCACTTTTGCGAATGATGGGGCTGAATGACTTTCCGCCACGATTATGTTTCCGTGGTTAGTGACGCTGCTTCGTTCAATCTCAATCCTTAACCTTGTAGGTCTTTTACCCCTGCATCCATCCACTCGGTTTTCTATCCACCTTTTTCCTTACACCTTTGTGTCCATCGCAAAGTGCGGGAACCTGTCCGGGTTTATTCTTGTAACGTGTCCAAACCACTGTCATAAAATAAAACGTTCAGCAGGGGTTTAAATTTTTTTAAGCTGAATTGTTTAACAAGGTGAAAACTCAAGAGACCAGGACATTGTCTGAGTTACAAGTGACCTGGATCAACAGAATGACAAAAGCAATATTTTTTTTTAAGTACAGCAATGATGCAGATATAAATTATCGCAAAAAAATGTATTGCAGAAACATAAATTCGTTGTTAAATAATACATTCCCTGCTACGAAAGTCGATTCGGGCCACTTCTATATTCAATGAGCGATGACTTCGCTGTGACGAGTTTATTAATAAATGGGATACGGCACTGAATTCATACCTGTCAAACCCTTATCAGTGCCATACCTTATACAGACCAATTCGGACCTTATTGGTCACCCCGTGCCCTTATAAATCTCAACGTCCATCCTACAAAGTCCCATCACAACGGGAGAAACAAACGAATAGACAAAAATACTAATATTTGTTTTTTTTTACCCGTATTGAAACGGCTGTACGCTGCATGGACCTGAAAACTAAATTTCCCCGTACAAGAATACGGATAAACCGTATGGGTTTGGAGCTATGTGCATGTATGTTGAACTTCTTTCGCACCGTACGTAGCCAACCGTGCTTATCGGAGTTGCGGGGAGGGAAGGACATCGGTAGAGCATTACGGGGTGTGTGTGTGTGTGCTGCGGTCTAGAGGCACGCAGTGGACACGTCTATCGCCTGGGCCCTTTCGTGACCATCATGAAGTCCCGCCGTCTCAGACGCGCACGAAATAGCGAGGCGCGGGTGGGGGTTTCTCCTACCCACTCTCTCGAATATGACCATCGCCGGGCCCACCGCTCCTCCCGCCGCCCTCTCTGAACTCGCAGGTTCAAACAACTCCATTGCCAGAGGGCGACAGCTTCCTCGATGTCCCGCCGTGCTTCGCCAACGACCCGCCGCGCAAATCGCCACTCACCGCTGATGTCGACCGGCGATCGCGACCCAACTCCTCGCCTGTCGGGTTCCCAGCGAGAATCGCGCTGCCAAGCCGCCGTGCCGTGCCGTGCCGACGCCGCCGCCGCTCCTCCTCCCGCTGTCGTATGCGGTACAGGGATAAGTGGGCTGACGTTTCGAGTAAGCGGCCCGAGAGCAGGGAGCGAGGTGGGGTGGTGGAGGCGGACATCACAAGGCCGGGCGCCCTACCTCCGTCGCCGTGGTCGCCATGGAGATGGCACTGGTGAGCCGGGTCCACTCGTCGCTTCTCTCTGATTGGTTGGATGGCCATCGTGATTAACATAATTTATTCACCCCCTCCTCACCTCCGCCACTGGTACCCTCCCACCCCCTCTCGCCCTGAGCAGAATCAAAATATTTATCCTGGTGGAATCCGATGAGCTATAAAGCTCTTTTTTATTACAGATGTCCAATAAGGGGCGGGTAAGAACGTTACAACAACAAACAATATACAAACACGATAGTATGCAAAGTACAAGAAATGTAAACAAATCTTGACTTAAAGCTTTCATGACTGCAGGGATATATTCTATGGGTCTTGCGGTAAAGCCACGTAGATAGAAAACTAATTTTAAAAATATCACGACGTTTCGATCTCAACACAAGCAAACGTCTTATTATTTTTCTATCTACGTGGCTTTACTGAAAGACCCATAGAATAAAGGTAAAAACAAATCACCCAAACACGTACAAATAAAACTAAAGCATCCCCATCCTACCAGGCAAAGCCCACTGAGGTATTAACTTAATTTTCAGAAGCGTCCTGGCCACAAATGTTTGCTCAACAAAGTGGCCCATCATTTGGACATTTATAGCACGAAAAGAATATAAATAATCTCAATGCATGTGAAACCACCTCCCGATCCCAGCACCAACATATAATGCAACTTTTTTTATGTAAATGAATTTCTTTACTCATATTTTTTATTAAAACGGGTTGTCTGTTACCCAATAATAGGTAACAATTCACATACCACTTAAAAAAAAAAACTGTTAATCGGAAAACATTCAAATCAGAATCTTTATTTGAGACTGGAGGAATCCTATTGGCTATCAAGCTCTTTTTCACAGATGTCCAGGGGGAGGGGGGGTCAAAAAGTTAAAAATGTAATTATCATCTGGCCCCATGGTGTAAAATGCAGTCTCCAACTCTTATTATCCACCTGATCTCTCTGGCCGTTCCATGTGTGTGCTGTAAAGATGGGCCATTGCCCGAAACGTCGCCTAGGCCACAGTGTTATGGCCCAATGTGTCGAGTCCCCTCATCTGTCGTGGTCGACGTTTCGTACACTGCGAGACAGAAATAGGAACACGTGGATGAGAGAACGCACGCATGTTAACAAACAAAACACTCCAAACATTCGTCAATAACACTCTGTGTGTGGCCTTAAAAGGAAAACAAGAAATAACAGGCGTCGTTTCTGGCAAAGCCCGTATTCATAGTACACACATAGAGAGACGAGAGAGACGGAGTGGATACAACGAGTTGGAGATTTCACTTGCTCACACCTTGACAGGTGATCGAGAATGTCGTTTCTAAAATATGTGGCATGTTAATAACATAATTAAAACAGTTGAAAAACGGAACGCTGGTTCATCATTCGCGTCGTCGTGGAAAATCTAAGTGACGGCGTAAATAACAACTAGAGGCCACTGCATTGACCACGATGTCAAAAACATCGAATCGTGCACGCACGCGCCAGCCGAGGATGTCGACTCTTCGTTGAACCGCGTACAAAGCGGACTGACCGGAATAAACCCCCAAATCGCGACCCAAAACGTCGCACCTCCTGGCTTTCACATTCCTCCTTTAAGACACTGGTGGAACCATCGACCACATCAGAACATCGGCAGGCCGATGCACACATCTTCTTCATGAATGTAAATTTAAGACAAACCACAATAGTGCGTTTGTGACCATGCAACCCAAACTATGGATGGTGGCCGTGCAACCCAAACTATGGACCATTACACCAGTGTAAAAACATCAGTGGACAATGAAGACGAGTGTACGAATGGAGTCCGTGCACCTTCAACGGAGGAGGAACTGCAAAACTACACCAACTTTCCCCAGAAGCCCCCTCGCCGTGACTGGCAGACCTCGACATTGGCATTTAGCTCCTGAACACACCGCTGCTACTGCTACAATCATGGGCAAGAATACAATTGCACCACGTTGGGTGGCCTGGATGAGTGCGTGGGGATGAGGGTGAATACATTGTACACCCCTCGTAAAATTATACATACACACGCACAGGCGACGTAATAAATCGAAACACAAACAATGCCACGTACATATTTATTTTAATGAGAAATTCCAGCCAACAATAACATTGGTTAAACATTTACCTTGGCTGTCAAATCTTTACAGTGATTGTAAGTAACTTTCCATCCGCCCTCCTTGTTGCTTCACGGAAACATTTCCATGGCCCGTTGTTCGGGTCCTGTCAACAGCACTTACATGAGCCAGCCAGGTAAACAGGGAAGAAGAACCGTGCAAGTGCATGGATTCCGTAACGTTTCCCAGCACGCGTTTGTCCTCGGAGGTATTCCGTAAGGAACAGTTGCGCCGCACAGCGAGGGTGACGATACACGGCAGACATTAGACGTTCTCACGATCGGCTGTCGAAACATCTGGATATGAAAGCACTTCGGTTGGAGAAAGTGACACATTTATTTACTCATAATTATTTAGACATTAAAGTCTAAATCACAGTCGCCGAAAATGCGTGCTTTAAAGTCCATAATAGCAGCACAACGTTATCCCAAACTTTAGTCCACATTGGATCATCTACAGAAAAAATAATTGTATTCAATTATTGTGTGGCATAATCTCCAGGGGCTAAATGCCAATGTCGAGATCTGGTAGCCACGACGAGAGGAATGAAAGGAGGGCACACTACAGTGGCTTACAATTTGGTCCATAATTTAGATTACATGGCCACAATCGCACGACTGTGGTTTGTCTTTAATGTACCTCTGTAGATCTCTATGGGTCTCTATGTGTCTTTATGTGTATATATGTGTCCGTATGGGTTTACTCTATGGTCCATTATTTAGATTATAATGTCACAATCGCAATGCCGATTAGCACGGTTGGCTACGTAGGGTGCGAAAAAAGTTAAATATACAGACGTGGCTTGTGTGTCTTTCATTTTGCATTGATGAAGGAGATGTGTGTATCGTCCTGTTGATGTTCTGATGCGGCTGATGGTCACACGAGTGTCAAAACATCAGTCGACAATGGAGACAATTATATGAATGGAGTCGCCGGGATTCCTCGAGCTCTGTGGTGTGCAACATTTAATATCGTTGCCACTGAAAGGGTAAACATTCGTCGCAGGTAAAGACAGCAGACCCCAGCGGAGAGGCACGTCAATTCATCGCCGTCGGGAGACACGCGGGGTGGGGAATTATTGATTGCAGCCGGTTTCAATTGTTTGTCGCTATCATCGTCATGAGCAGCATCAGAAGCATAGAGTGTGGCGCTTTAAAACAATTGCTGCTGGGCCGTCCATCGACCGGCGTTATTGGCAAGAGCACTCTACGAACACAGTGCATGCGGCCGATTCAGAGAAGAAGGGAAAAACTGAACTTGTGGTGAGCTGCGAGTGAAAAAAAAAATCATTACACCGTCCGGTATTCGTTTCACCGAGTAAAAACAAATATTAAAAAAGCAATTGGTCCAGCGGCGTAGTCACGTGGTTGGCATGGGTACTGGAGCGAATAATTCAATCGGGCCTTCTGTCAAATATCTTTCCTTTTATTTGTGACCCGGTGCCCGGGTCCCTCCCAGCCCATGGGGCCCCTGCGCAATTACACCACCTGTATCCACGATATTTATGCCACTGATAGGGTTCATTAGAGGGGAGTTCTTCATGCGAGGGAGACATCAACATTATTTTCCAGAAGGGAGAGCTTCATGCATATTGCTTTGTCATAGAGGTTACAAGTGGTGGTGGATGTGAAGTGGAAAGGAGTGCAATAAAATAAGTGTAACTGCTTAATATAAATAATAATTACTGATTACATTTGTAAGGCACAATTCACATATCCATCGATCAAAATGTGCCAATATCACGCAGAGCAGAGATGGGGCCCAGCGCGGAGCACACGGCTTTGGTGCATCGCTTTGGAGGTGAGGGTTGGTGGCTCATGGAGATTTGTGAAACTCCAGAACCCTCTGCACTGAGAGGTGGTCATGAGCTGTCGTTGCAGAAAATGGTCTTTGAGTGTTTCCCCGCGTATGAGTGGGCTTTCTCCAGTTTCCTCCCACGAGCAAATCTCTCCTTAGAAAATAATTGGCCAATCATCTAAATGTAGGACTTTCCTGAACAGGAGATTTTAGGCCTGAGTGAGGCTTTTCTGATGAAATAATTTTTGTTGTTATAATTGTGTTCGGTGGAGCAGTCGCACAGTGGTTCACACACTGTGGTATGAACCCGGTCACAGCCTTCATCAGTGGCAGGTAAAATCTTAACCGGCTTCAACAATCTGCACCAAACAGCATGGGAAAGTATGATCAAATATCCTCTTTCACCGAATGATGTGTGGCAACCTTCATCCAGCAGTGGGGTCATGCATTCATCATTATTTTTGTCTAACCCCATGTACCACAGCCAGCTAGATAACTTTATACAAATCCAACTGGCGCATTGCCAATGGTAATGTCTGTAATTATTGTTTGCTCTTTAAGAGCCAACCTCAGCATAGTGACAAAAACTACACATTCGTCAATAACACTGTATTTAAAATTAATAAATATATAAGCGACGTTTCGGGCAATTGCCCTTCTTCGCAGCACCTAGTGACGTTTGTAGAAACAAACAAAACGTAACAATGGTAATCGAGCAGGGTAAACATAGAGTGAGCAGCCTCATGACTTCTTGGTGAAAAACTGCAGCCTAACTCAACCCGTAGTTCAAACATGACACGTTTCAACACCAGGACATCAGCGGTTCCTCAGCGTTGACCTTTGACCCCAGCTTGAAACCTCACACATCAGGGCGGTGGCGGCCGTCCTTGTTCCGTGGAGCTCGCATATGGAGCGAGAGATATCGAAGGATCTGCAGACGGGAACGGAAATCTGTGCAGTGATTGCAAAAAATTGGCTACGGGAAAAAATGTAAACATTTCCAATTACACACACGTGTGTGTGTGTTTGTATGTATCCCCACGTGTGCTGCGTGTGTTATAGTAACGCTGCACCAAACAAAACACATTACTTTTGGTTTTCGGAACAAAATTGTTGAGGGAATTTACATTCCCAATGTAGGAAA